TTCCTTGTCGGAATAAAGAACCCTGAACTGATCCACAATTAATAGGACCCCTCAGTTGCCCTTGCGCACTTCTCCCTAACCATTCCAACTCACCTTCTGCAATAGTAACTTTGTGAATCTCTCTGTCCACCCCTATCCGCTGTGGTACAATCTCCTTTGGTCTCTCTTTTCTCTCTGTTTTCTTATCCTTATCAGCTAATTTCTCTTTTTTTCCATAATGTCCTTAGTCAACACTTCCTTAAATGTTCTTATCTTTTCTTCTTTGACCCTAATACTTTCCTTTTCATTACCTGACTCCATCTTCTCCTTCTGTCTATTCCTTGATTTATTTGCTTCCATAACTCGAATCCTTCGACCAGAAATCATCCTATTATGGTCCGATTGAATAGCCCTTACCAATTCCTTTGCCTCCCTGTATCTTACAAATGCATACTTGGTCTCCATCTCTTTCTTGGGTCTTGGTATAAAAACATCAACCACTACCCCATAATCATTGAAGCACTCTTTCAGTAGTCTCTAATCCACTTCATTGCTTAGATTCTCCACAAATGCTCAGCACAGTCTATTTCTCCACCTCCCTACTCCCCATGGATCCTCATTGCCTTTCCTATTCAAAATCTTTCTGTCTTGCCAAACCTAGTATTCACTTCCTTTCATTCTCTCTCTAATTTGGGTTTTTTTTTTTTGCTACTTTTGAAGGCTATTAAACTCAAATGCTATTAATGCTCCTCTTTTTCTTTTTCCCCTAATGAATGCAAAGGTTTGGTAGTCAAGAGAGAGAAAATCTTACCATGCAAATCCCACAAAATCACATCCTGTGATCGATGCAATATTGACTGCATACATAAACAAAAAAAACCCATCAAAAGGAAGCAATCTCCCTCCACACAGCTACCTTGTTAAGCTTAAACCACAAAATTTTTGAAGGCAATGCCTTTAAAATCCCAAGGAAAACACAGCTTAATAAGTATTTGGTTACATGTTCAAACTCAAAAGCAAAGAGAGCATCGCATGCAAGATTGGGATTGTGTTTCACGTGGGGGTAGTCATTTATTGTCTGTCTGGAAAGCTAGGTTTGGGTTGCTTTCTAGCTTCCCAATAGAGGTGAGAATTTGGTGCACTTGGTTCCACAAACCTTACCAAACGTCCCCTTCTTCACAACATTTTTTTACCCATTTTATGGTGTAGTTCAGCCTTAAATATTAGCACTGAGTTAAAAATGAAGGTTGAGATATATGAAATCCCTGAAATTGTTGCTTGAGATTAAAGGGGGAAAAAAATTTCAACTAGTTTAGGAAATTAGTTTTTAAAAAAATAAAAATAACAGATTTATGTCAAAATAAGATGTTTTTTGAACTATAGTTTTCAATGTCATTATACTGTCAAATTAATTTATACTTAGTGAAATGAATAAAAGTTACTATTATGATAAATGTCTAATAATTCAAGCACGTAAAAACATTATCAAATTCTATAAATCATACACATAAGGGAGAAGTTAAAATAGTTTGACATTTCGACTTGTGTACGTGTTCTAGAATTTTACCAACACTTACACATCAACAATCAAACTAATTGAACTAAAAAATCCAATTTCAATATTTTACAAAACTTTTCTTATTTATTGAAAAAAAGAATTTGAACCTCAAATGTTTTTTTATTTATTGAGAAAAAAAGATTCGAACCTCCTCATTGAAGAAGGGATGTTAGGTATATTTAATATATCAAAATCCAACAAGTCTCTTTCTGTAGAGTTCTACAAAAGTGAGGCCAAAGCAGAGCTTTAGCTTCTGTTGTAGTGGAGGAAAAGTTCATCCAATGTATTTGAGGTTGCTTAAATCATTTTTCTCAACTTTATTTTTCTATAAGCTGCAAAGGAGAAGAAATAGACAGAAAATGACATACAAATTATTGTTATCCTTCTGAATTTTGCTGTTATAATTGAATATTAGCATTGGTACATGGGGCATAAAGCCTAAATGATAAAATAATCTTACTATAAACATGAATTCTTACCATTGGAAAAAATGAAGAAAGAGAAAAAGTTAACTAAAGTAAGTTCTCTATGTGAAGAACATCGAAAAGCTTAGAGGTTGAACAAATAGGACCAAAAACTCAAGGGGGCCATGGGCTTACGTGGAGGGAAATAATAGATAGCGAAAAAGCCTGGGCCATGGCTAAGTCAAATATGAAGAGGTAGGACTCTGTAGCAAGTACAATGATTACATGCAAGCTGTGGACATTTCCACTTTCAATTCTTGTTTATTTAATTATTTTTTGTACAATTCAAAATATAAATCCTACTATAAGATGGATAGAGAAAATGGGCGTTTGTATCTTAATATGGAGGTTAGAGCAGTTTACCTGCCTACAATTTTTTGATTTTAGACAT